GCCAAACTAATTGTTTCAACACTGAATTTAATTATTTCTAGCTTGATCACATTAATTTGAATGATCTTGAAGTTTGTCAAAATTCCCACACTTCCTTGAATACTGTGACCTGTATTCACTATGTCCTGTGTGTAGGCACTGCTAAGTCAAAGAAATCCGAGCCTGTTTTCTCAACTACAGAGGTGCTGAGTGGAGGAGTGCAGGAATTGCTGTGTGCAGGTAGCAAGGTACCTTGGGATATGTAGTCCATAGAAATTGAAAGTAAAATAGCAGAGATACTGCAAAGCATGCAGGGAATCAAGGAAGTTGTGGAAAAATTTTGTCGATGGGTTTTTCTTTACCATAGAGAGGATCCTGCGATCATCCACCACTGTTTAACATGGACGTCCATGCCTTTTTACATGCTGAGCTCAACAGTGCGTTCTTTTCTCAGAATGTACCAAACTGTTGATTTGGCCACTCCTAATGTTGCTGCCATCTCTCATGGGTTTTTCATTTTTTTTAAACCTTTCAATGGCCTGTTTCACTTGCATGGACAGCTCCTTTGAATGCATGATGTAGCTTCACAGCAATAGATTCCAAATGCAAATAGCACACTTAGAATCAACTCCAGACCTTTTACCTGCTTAATTGTGAATCAGGGCTGCTCTGTGCAAAACCACTGAATTCATCATCTTCTGGGGCCCCCCAGGCGGTTCTGGTCCATTCTGCCGTCAGAGTGCACAGATAGGAAGCCGCAAAGTATAGTATAGAGTGCCCCTTTAGCAAGGTAAAAAAAAAATCTGCCCTTTTTAACCATTTCCATTCCGGGCACTTTTACCCCCTTCCTGCCCAGGCCATTTTTCAGGTTTCAGCGCTCACACGTTGAATGACAATTGCGCGGTCATACAACATTGTACCCAAACTAAAATTTTATCATCTTCACACAACTAGAGCTTTCTTTTGGTGGTATTTAATCGCCACTGGGGTTTTTATTTTTTGCTAAATTAACAAAGACTGACAATTTTGAGAAAAAACCCATGTTTTTCTTTGTTTCCGTTATAAAAGTTTGCAAATAAATGTTCTTCATAAATTTAGGCCGAGATGTATTCTACTTACATGTCTGGTGAAAATAACCCAAATTAGGATGTATTTTTTTTAGTTTGCAGGAAAGTTATAGAGTTCACAAACTATGGTATAGATCTGAATATTGATCAATCCTGAAGTACTGACAGCCAATCTAATTTCTTGAGGTCCAAGAATGTCAGAACAGTACAGATCCCCCAAATGACCGCTTTTTTGCAAAGTAGACAGTCCTACATCAGAGGCATGGCGAGTTTTTTTGAAGTTGTGTGTGTAAAAAAGAGAAAAAAAGAAATTTTTTTTTTTTTTTTTTTTTTTTTGGAAAATGAAGAAACTTATTTTCACTTTTTTTTTTTTTTTTTTTTTTTTTTTTTTTTTACACAATTTGCTTATAACAAAGAATTACTTTGCTATAAGCAAGCATTTACCCGAATGACATCGATCCATTCAGTGTTTTTTGTTGTGTGTTTTTTTTTTTTTTTTTTTTTTTTTTTGTGCTTAGCTGTGATTTGGCCACAGCTAATCACATGACACATGCGTGTGATCGCTGTGACCATTCACAGCCAGACACTAGTATACAATGGATGGCATGAATTAAGCCATCCATTGTATATAACTGTCATGTGACCTGCTGTGATTGGTCACATGGTACTGGCAATGGGGGTCAGTACTCAGATCTGTCATCGGCCGTGTCCGAGGTACACGGCCGGTGACAGATCGCGAGGCTCTGCAAGCAAGAAAAATGCGCATGCCCGGGAGGACGCCATATGGCATCCACCCGGAAATCTACAGCATTTTGCCGCCCTCCAAACGGCTATTGGCCGGGCGGCTATTGGTTAAATCACTTCCTTCTCCTGCTCTAGATTACATGATCCATGAGGCATTGCTCCTCACACATTCAGGTTCTCAGGCACTTACGGATATGTATGAGCAGTGTACTGAACTGTATGTGCTGCACTGTATGTTCTGATATGTAAACAAATAACACATTCTGTATGCATGTAAACAGATAGTGCATTCTGTATGCAGGCCAACTAATCTGTTGACCAACTAATCAGTTATGAAAATAGATGACGACTATTTTCGTAATCTGTCTATTAGTAGTTTCAGCCCTAGAACTCAAAGGTCATAGCGGGAGGCTTGTGTAATCTATATTTTAGATTGGCCGATTTTCTTTGGAAGTACAGGTTTAAAGTGTCAGTTGTGGGTAGAAACTAGACTGAGTTCCCCTTTGTTTCTTGTGTTGAATACTTTTTGAGACTTTTGTTTTAGCAGTGTATACCCTCTTGGAGGGTTCCCATTTTGTTTATTGCCACCTTCAGTATAAAATTGAAACTGGTAGCTGGGATAATGTAACTGGTGCTGCATGTGTGCAAGCCTTGGAAATGAAATGGTGGGCAGAAATGTAAACCTTCATTATCAGCAAATGGCATGTGAGATGCACTTACTGTGCAAAAGTATGACCGGTGTGAAGAAATGCTGTAAAATGCTTTCAAAAATATGTATTTAAATTTTTTTTTGTTTTTATGTACAAAATGCAAAGTGAGCAAACAAATCTATACCCGATCAATATTTGGTGTGACTTTCCTTTTGGTTTTAGAAGAACATACATTCTTATACTTGCACACTTTGTACACTTGCACAGTCGGGGATTTTGTAGGATTACAGATTAGGTGTATGATTAATCCATTAGAACAGGCAGGTGCTAATGATCATCAATTTTGTATGTAGGTTGAAACTCATTAACTGTAGCTGTGTAGGAGGCTTAAATGGATGAGGAGTAGCTAAATTCTGCTACTAAGGTGAGGTTGTGGAAAACTGTTTCATGCACTATGGCACAACTGAGCACAGCAACAAGACACGAGGTAGTTCTGCATCAGCAAGGTCTGTCCCAAGCGCAAAATTCAAAGCAGACGAGTTTCATGATGTGCTGTTCAAGCTCTTTTGAAGAAGCACAGATGTGTAATGTTGACTGTAGACTAGTGGTTGGCCAAGGAAACTTGACACGTCATGCTTCCTTTTTGACATCGGAAGATGTTCAGCAGTGCCATCAGCACAGAACTGGTGGAAAGCAATGGTACCCAGGCACACCCATCTACTCCTGGGGAAGTCTAGCCAGAAGTGCTCTTTATAGAAGAATTGTGGCCAAAAAGCCACACCTTCAACATGGAAACAAAGCTAAGCAACTGAACTATGTACAAAAACATAAGGAATGGGAGCAGGTGCTCTTGACTGATGAGTCAAAATTTGTCTGTAGCAGGAAGCAGTTTGTTTGCGAAGGGGTGGAGAACGTTACAATGAGTGTCTGCAGGCAACAGTGAAGCATGGTGGAGGTTCCTTGCAAGTTTGGGACTGGTATTTCTGCAAATGGAGTTGGTGATTTGGTCAGGCTCAATGGTGTTCTCCATGCTGAGAAATACAGGTCGATGCTTCTCAATCATGCCATACAATCAGAGGCAGGTGTTTGTTCCCAAATTTATTCTGCATCAGAACGGCTCCAAACATCCAGCCAGTGTCATTAAGAACTATCTTCAGTGTAAAGAACAAGGAATCCTGGAAGTAATGGTTTGGCCCTCACAGAGCCCTGACCTATAGTTGGTTCTCCAAGATGTTTGGAACAACCTACCTGCCAAGTTCCTTCAAAAACTGCAAGTGTACCTAGAAGAATTGATGATTTGAAGGAAAAGTGGTCATCTCAAATATTGACTTCTGAAGGCATTCTTCATTTAACAGCATTTTTCACATCTGTCTAAACCGGTTACACAGTGCATTCAGAAAGTATTCAGACCCCCTTCAGTCTTCCATTTTTCTGTTGCAGCCTGATACTGCAGTTGATTTTAACTTTTTTTGTTTTTCTTTTCTGTAATCTACACTCAGTACCCCATCATGACAAAGTGAAAACAGAATTTTGAAAAAAGTGAAATCACATTGGCATACAAGTGTTGCAACAACTCTCAGACTTTAGCTCAGGTGCCTCCCATTTCACTTTACCATTGCTAAGATGTTTATATACCTTGATTGGAGTCCACCTGTGGTAAATTCACACACTTCTCCTATAAAAGGCCTGACCGCTGATAATTCCTACTGTGTCAAAAAAGCCATGAGCCCAAAGGAACCACCTGCAGAGTTCAGGATTATTGAAAAGTACAGATATGGGGAAGACTACAGAAAATATTTGCTCCACCGATCTGGGCTTGATCAGGAGAAATGGGAGACACTTGAGCTAAATTTCAAGTGTTGCCAAGGGTCTGAATACTTGGGCCAATGTGACATATCAGTTTTTCAATTTTGATAAATTTGCAAATATTTCTAAAAAATCTGTTTTGACGTGATCTACACGCAGTACCCCATAATGATAAAGGAGAACAAAAATGAATTGGAACAATTGCAGTTGTTGGGCTGTAACATAGCATTGAAAAAAGTAACGTGTCTTTTTCATTTTGGCTTTTCACTTGTAAATCTGCATTTTTGGTCATATTAGGGACCTTAGATCATATGCCTTCTGAGGGTTAGGAACTGATGTGGATATACAATATATATGTAAAGAGCTGCTTAAAATTGGCGCCATATAAGTACCTAAAAATAAATAGAAATAAAACAAATATTGCTTTAAACCTCTGGAACATTTTGTCAATCACTGGCTTTCAGCTCTGCCCTTCAGTGCTTGCTGAAGCGACGGGCTGTGGAGGAGGTGGGGGTGGCTAGTTCAGGCTATCAGTGGTGTGCTGAGAGCCTGAGCTAGCTGCCGAACCAGACATTTGGGCGGATCCCGCCTTGAGTGAATGTGGTTCACAGAGTTGCAGAATGACATGCACTCCTGTGAACCCCAGGAGAAGTAGTGCCAAAAAAGTTTTGACCCTACTTTAATCACCAGCTGTTCATGATGTGTGTTCTGTGTTGGCAATTCACATTTTAACACGTTTCTATTTCGCTTGCAGATTATAGCACCTATAGCCAGGCTGGTGCCCAACAGAGGTAAGTGTTTGCTGTTTTTGTTGGTCATCATTTTGTTAAAGCATATGGGGCAGGGGGATCAATTTCTCGCCTGTGTGCCTTTATACCATACTTCATGCTTTTATTTGTTCCTTGTTTTACAGCTATGGTGCTTATTCTGCTCAGCCAGCTCAAGGATACACACAGACTGCTCAGGTATTGATTCTTTCTAAAAAGTGAGGCCTTTATGCATGTAGTAAAATGGTGGGGCTTGCTTATCGGGGAAAAGTGTGTGGCGTATTTTCCACAAGCACACATTGAGTTTCCATTGTAGACTTGTATTTTTAATTTGATTCAACTTCTGTTGTGGTATTCACTGTAGAGATTAACCACTTCACAACTGGGCCATAGTCAATACCTCCTCGGTTGGATGTGGCATACCAGGGTTATGGCTGCAGCGATGACCTAACCCTGGTTAAAAAAAAAAAAAAAAAAAAAAAAAAATCAGCTATTCCCTTTCTGTTAGGGGATCCTACAGTGGATTTGCTTCTGGACCACTTTCTGGTGGTTCTCGGGCTTACCTGGATGAGAACTGATTCAGTGATCGAAGTGGCTGGGCCTAGATGAGTGAAGGAAAAATTGCCTCCACTTATCTCTATCGCCTAGAGCAGTGGTGGGCAACCTTTTTTTTTTTTTTTTTTTTTTTTTTTTTTTTTTTTTTTTTTCAACTGAGCCAAATCTCGCCAAAACCACGATTGAAATTTACTTTGAGAGCCACATTTTTAAAACTGAAAATACATCCCCCATATAGTAATTCATCCCCCATATAGTAATTCATCCCCCCCCATAGTAAGCCAAGTCCCCCCTGTGTCAATTCACTTACCTTTGCTCCGCGCGTTCTTCTCGCCGTGTTCCCGCGCCGTTCTGGTCTTCAGGGCGGACTGTGAGAGGAGAGGAGTTCGTCACGCTGCCCCGCCTACATCCTGACAGCTGCAGAGTCCTGACTTTTGGGGCGGCCGCCCAAGAGGAGGGAGGGGAGCGGGCGCCCGGCACACAGAAGAGCCGCATTTAAGTTTGTAAAGAGCCGCATGTGGCTCGCGAGCCGCGGCTTGCCGACCACTGGCCTAGGGGGACCGAAGCAATGTCATTGCGTCCCTTCCGGTTCCGTCCCAATGTAAAAGAGGCTTTTTTGTTTTAATGCTTTAAACTGTAGAGCGATGTAGGGTCTTATTGACCCCAGATGTCCATATAGAGGACCTGTTCCTGCTATTTTATAGCAGGGATGTTTACAGAACTGTGTTCGAACCACACATGTGAATAATTCTACCATTAGATCTCCTTTGTAACTCTAAACTGGTAGCCTTTAGAAATTGTTAAAGCGGTGCCTATGGAGATTAAGTGCCATGGTTTGGTGTCATTCCATGAGCGTGTGCATGACATGTTGGGTATCTATTTGGCTTAACATCATCTTTGCTATTTTGCAAAAAAGCTTTATATTTAGTTTTTTAATTCATTAGTGTATTTTCCCCAAAATTTCAGTTTGAAAAATCACTGCGCAAATACTGTGTGACATGAAAAATTGCAACAGCTGCTATTTTATTCTCTAGGGCCTCTGCTACAAAAAAAAACCTTTTTTTTTATTTTCTTTTTTTTTTTTTTTTTTTTCATACGAGTGTGAGATTTGGCCCGGTAAGCAAGTGGTTAAAGAATTAGTTTACTTGTAGACTTGCATTGTGTAATCTTTGTAGAGAAACTTTCTTAACACTAAAGTTCTTGCTTATGGTGGTTTATTTTTGGTTATGAAATTTTTATTTTGAAATGTAACAATTGCCCTTGGTGCCCAAACACTGCATCTCCCAGATAAAGGAAGAAATCACTGGCTTGTAGGATTTGTTCCAAAACTAATCCTGAAAGACCTGTACATTCACAGTTGAGCTCTGAGTATTTGAGTGTGAAAATTTTGCAATCTTTAACATTGACCTGAATAAAATTTAAGGTGGGGTGGCTCTGTAGTTGCTGGGGGCGGAGCTTGCCAAACCCTTAAAGTCTGAAGAAATCGTGTGGGTTTTTAACAAGAAAAAATGTAATCTTTACAACTGCTTTAATGCCACTTTAAGGCTAGAAAATCTTAACTCCATTAAGGTGTCTGTTTTTGTTTTTCTCTACCTCATTTCTCAATACTCATCGGCTTTTCTATATTCAATGGCGCTATTCTGCTTTTTTCAGGCAACCTATGGACAACAGAGTTATGGCACTTATGGGCAGCCTACTGATGCCAGTTACACACAGGCACAAACCACTGCCACTTATGGTCAATCAGCTTATGCTACTGCTTACGGACAGCCTCCTGCTGGTAAGATTGATGTATTCTAATGTGCTAATTTACGTTTTTTTGTTTGGGGTTTTTTTTTTTGTTTTTTTTTTGTTTAACTTGATTACTTTAAAAGGATAAATTGACCAGTAATTTCTGTGGTTCTAGTTTTCATGCAGTGTAACAATGTCTCTGCTCCTTTTGAATGCGAACACACTCTTTGGTTGCTGCAGCATTTTTATTCTGTGCAAACATTACAAGTTGATGGTCAGCTCTTAGATGGGAGTGATCCAGCAACTAGCCCACCTAGCTGCCAAAAAAAATAAAAAAATCCCCAAAGTGTTGTGTATTGCATCACTGGTTTCAGCTTTGACTGGTTTCAGCTTTGACACTGTCCTCTCATCTTCTATGAAGACCTCCTAATAGACCCCTGATGTTTCCTAAGGAAAGATGCCACATCAAATTCTGTCAGCTCCCCATGTGATGGTAGTAGTGTAAAAAAAAAAAAAAAAAAAAAAAACTTTTTTACTTGAGTACTTATCACTGTTCAGCGTGTACGCACACATGCATTGGGTGCCTACATATGAAAACTGATTTTGTTCACATGTTGCTTATCCCCACATGCCAAAGTGAGAGCAGTAATTCTATAGCTGACCTTTAGGACTCCTTTCATACTATGGTGTATCTGCGGGTTTCGTGCAGGTTACATGTGCTTTGCCATAGACTTCTATTAAGTCAAAGTTTTGGTGCGTCTTTCTGAAAGCGCACCACAAGTCCTGCATGTAGTTTGGCAAAGCGCAGGTAAACCACACAAAACCTGTGGGTACACTGCACTGTATCGTTTTGAAAGCTTTCTTACACTTATCTCTAAATGGATGACCTTTTAAGAGCTTTTAAAGTGTCACCTATGGACCATGTGTACTGAAATCTTTGTGCACACGTGAAACAACAATTTTTAAAGGCTTGATTATCCATTTACTCAGCACAACTTCCTTTTTTTTTTTTTTTTTTTTTTTTTTTTTTTTTTTACCAAAAATTTATTTGAAGAGCACATATAGTTCATGCAGTTTAACGTTCAAGTGCAAATATACTGTCTATAACCTGTTCGTTTAATTTCATGCCATAAATTGGAACTACCTCCTGTTTTGTTCTCCACAGTCTGTTTTCAGATCCTGCCAGTAACTGCATTTCTGTTGCAGGCTTAAAATAAGCCACTGCCTTGCAATTAATTGCCACGATTTTTCTGTCTTCTCTACTAACCTATCGGAAACTAAATGATTATACAGTAATAACTTGGTAGGACATGGTTTATGTGGAGCTCAAACTCCTCTTGCAACAGATATTCCTCCATACAGGATAAATCTTATTGCTCTTTACCAGTCCTTGGATATGGTGGATACCTTAGTTTTTTTTATATTTTTTCAGACTACTTGGTGTTTGTCAGGAACAGATTTCTATCCTAGGGTGACTGTGCTCACTCACCATAGTCTATCTACAGAAATGTTAGGACTGCTGAATACCTTCCCCTTTTCTTCCAAAATCTCAGGGGGAGAGGTGTTTTAGTCCACATTGCTGTAAACTATGCTAACAGTGCAACAGAATGTACATGAAGGAAACCACTCACGGCATAGTAAATTTAAAAAAAAAAAATGCACATGACTACAATGATTTGTTTTCTTGAAAGAAAAATATATATATTTTTTTTTTCAAGGTTATACTGCTCCAGCAGCACCCCAGGCCTACAGCCAGCCTATACAAGGCTATGGAGCAACAGGTTATGACAGCAGCACTGCAACCACCGCCACCACCCAGGCTTCATATGCTGCACCTACTGCTTATGGTGCCCAACCAGCATACCCTTCCTATGGACAGCAGCCTGCAACCACTGCTCCAGCAAGGTAATGAACAAAGTTGATGTCTCTACAGCTATTTATTGCAGAAGAGGCTTGTTTTAAGTCCATTCGCAGGAAACTCCACTATCAGTCTGTTACATATACCTTTTTATTTTTTTTCTCTATTAAGACCTCAAGATGGAAGCAAGCCAGCAGATACAAGCCAGCCTCCACCAAGTACAGCCACATATGCACAGCCCAGCATGGGCTACAGTCAAAGCAGCTACAGCTATCCCCAGGTCCCAGCCACCTACCCCATGCAACAAGTGACTGCTCCACCATCTTACCCACCAACTAGGTACAAAGAATATGTAAATAGGGTTTTTTTTTTTGGAAATTACCAGCCTATACTCCTTATTTATTTATTTTTTTCTTTATTGCTGCTCTATGGGGGTTTTGGAGTATGGAAAGAACGACCTGTTGGCTCTGGTCTTCTGGCTCCCAAGGACAGCATTTAGGCCAGTCACCAAGCACCAGTAGTCACACATGCTTCTCCCTACCCAATAGCAACTGGCATTTCCATTGCTTCCAGCAGGTGATCAGGGCAGTGGGAGAGTTTATGCTTCTGGGGGACAGAGGTTTTAAAGCATGCCTATTTGGCTGTCTACCAAGGCTGTGTGGAAACTATCATGTAGCTGCTTTTCCACATGACAGTTGTATGACCTACATCACTGGCAGCTAAAGGGGTTAGCCTGCAGGGGCATTGTAGGTTTGCTTTACGGGCAGGGAAAGGTTCTTAATATTCCTGGTTACTTTAAAGGAAAGTGTCTGTCTATATTTAAGTCTGAATTTGTTGTTTTGTACTATATTTATTTATTTTTTTCCCCCCAGCTATTCTACATCACAGCCATCGAGTTATGAGCAGAGTTCCTATTCCCAGCCAAGCTCTTACACGCAGCAGAGCAGCTATGGACAGCAGAGTTCCTACTCACAGCAGAGTAGCTATGGCCAACCAAGCAGTTACGGGCAACAAGGTGGTTATGGCCAGCAGAGCAATTACCAGCAGCAACAGCAGCCACCTCAACAGCCACCTCCCACAAGCTATCCTCCCCCCCTTCATCCTCTTATGGCAGCCAGCCACCCAGCCAGTATGGGCAGCAGAGCAGTGGCTATAGCCAGCAAAGTGAGTAAATGATTCTGTTTATCTGCCCAATCTTTCATTGTGCACCAATGTAATGGAAGAGACAGCAGTAAAGGCAATCCATAATAGACTAAACTAAACCGGTTTAGGTAAAGTCACAAATGCGGGTACTCTTAGATGCCAATGCAGGCATTATTAGATGCCAGTGCACAAGTGCTTGCCTTCCAGTGGATTTACACCCACCCCCCTCCTTCCTCACCAGGCCATTTTTTTGTGCTACAGTGCTGCATTAATTTAACTGACATTTGCACGGTCATGCAACTCTCACCCAAATGAAACTTCCATCCCCTTTTTCTTTTTTTCCCCCAATGAAGAGTTTTTTTTTTCTTTCTGTGGTATTTGCCTGTGCATTATTTTTTGTGCTATGAGAAGAAGAAAAAAACTAATTTTGAGGGACAAAAAATTATTTGACTTTTTTGCTATTACACATGTCCAGTAAAATTTTCAAAAATCAAATTTTCGTCATAAATTTAGGCCAAAATGTATTCTGCTACATGTCTTTGCTTTAAAAAAAAAAAAAAACAATGTGTAAATTGAGTTACATGAAAGTTATAGCGTTTACAAAGGGCAGCATATATACTGGGTTTTTTTTTCATGCTAGTAATGGCAGCGATCAGTGACTTATAGCAGGACTGCGGCGTGCATTCTGACACTGGTGTCACTTGGTGTCACTGACATCCCCAGGGACATCAATGCAGTGATCAGTGCTAATAAAAAGCACTGACACTGTACTAATGGCACTGGGCAGGAAGGGGTTAACATGTGGAGCGATCAAAGGGTTAACTGTGCAGTTTTATGTGGGCTGTCTGTGTTTCGCTGTAAGCACACTACTTTTGCTATGTAGAGCCATACAAAGCAGTGTGCAGGAGCTGATGGGAGAGATCTGTGTCTACATACAGGTCTCTCCCCCATCGGAAATCCTCAGAGATCGCTGGGTGTTGGCAGGGAATCACCGGCTGGGACCTGATGATTGACAGCCCAGGCTGCAAATGGTGGCGCGGGTAGGCTGTGTGCCCCCTACCCGGAACTGCAAAATTACTGTGTATGTGTATAATATATATATATTTGTATATATTATGATTTTGCGCATTCGTGCCTCTCTGTAGCAGTATTTCTGCTATAGGGAGGCGCAGAAGTGGTTGAAATGGCTTGGGAAAACTTGACAAATTTGACGTGGATTCAGAATGGGCTTCAGTCAGAGCAGCTACATCTATCCCTAGGTCACAGCCAGCTACCCCATGCAACAAGTGACTGCTCCACCGTCTTACCCACCAACTGGGTACAAAGAATGTATTTTTTATTTGCAAATTAGCAGCCTGTGCTTTTTCTTTACTGCTGCTCTTTGGGACTTTGGAGCATGATGTGACCTTTTTACATATCTAGTTCAGAGAATTATATTTCTGGATGCTAGGTAGTTGTGCCTAGGATTACACTGCCAGAAAGTCGGCTTACATTCTCTGATTGCACTGATGAAGGCTGTGTTTGGTGTATTGTGATGTACATTTATCTGGGTAACGGAAAAAAGAGTGCCAAAACCACGGATTTGATTTGTGCAGTTGAAGCGTTGACTGCTGAGTGATATAAACTCATATTCAACTTTTAAGGATTTCTTTTTACAGCAAGAATTGATGCAATGTCCAACCAAAGTAAAAAGTTTAGCATATTGGGGGGGCCCCATAGCTGTGGCAGTGCTGACCACTGAATTGATGTTCAAGTGAACATGTCAAGGTCAACTAAAGTAGTTGTAGTGACCCTTTTTTATAAATTATTAATCTGATACTGTAGATTGAAGTAGTCTTTCCCAGCTCTTGTGCTAATCTACTAAAAATTATGAAAGTTCATGCCATATTTGGAAACTCCAGAGGCTGATAAATGGATGAAGTAAAGCTCTGCTACCAAATTAGTGTTTCTAAACCCATGACCCTGCATTCACTATATCCGGTCTCCTAAAGTACATACAACCTGAAAATGCAATTATTTTACTAAATCTTAACTGTTAAATACCATTTCTCATCAGCAGTTATGTGAATTCTATCGGTGTCCAGCAGAGCACTGGTTAAAGCTTGGAGTTTTCATTCTTCCCCGATTGTTCTATGAGGTTGCAGGATCCCCGATCCTCTGGATAGTGCTGATTGGCCCTGTGCTGATCACATGCACTTTCCCGAGCAAAAAAAACCTGCAATACACACCAAAAAGAGCATGGGCAGCTTGCCCCCAAGGCTCTGTTCTATCAGCAGATGGATTGGGAACAGTAGAAGGGGAGGATCAGACAGGATCAAAAATCCTTTACACAATGTGGATGATTAACCCCTTAGGTTCCACAGTGAGTATAACAAGCATGCTTTACTGCATATACAGACTGATTTTACTGTACTGGTTTTAGTAGCACTTAAACTGAATTCAACTGCTATGTATTAGTGTAATATTCGGCCTTTGGAACTCTGATGTGACAAGAATTTATATATTAACTAATTTGTACCAGTCTTTATCTCCCATACCTATAAACAGCCTGTAAAATTTTTTTTTTCACTTTTTTTTCTTTGGCCGTTCAGGTAGTTATCGTCAAGACCACCCAAGTAACAAAGGGTCCTATGGGCAGAACCCCACCAAGGTTATTCTGGTTCTGAAGGCCGCAACTCTGGAGGCTCGGATTCCCGCGGTAGGGGCCGGGGCATGTATGACAGAGGTGGCATGAACCGTGGCGGTAGGGGAGGCCGTGGAGGCATGGGGTAAGAACAAAGCTACTATTTAAGAATTAACCTTTTACTTTCCTCTAGATGGAGTCTACTTAATGATTTGAAAACCTCATCTGAGTGCAGTTCAGATGTCATTTTTTATTTTTAATGGGCTCACAAAGCCAGAGTGAACATTTTTATGTCTTTTGGTGTTTTGAAGTTACTTCCTTTTAGATAGAAGGCAACTTCCCAAACAAAACTGATCTGCTTTGTCCAATAGCAAATTGGTCACTGGTAACTTGTCTGGCATGGCAAGTTACTCACAATTGCTGGACATCCAGCAGGATAAGACACAGGATTGCTTTTTTAAAAGTTTTGTTTTTTTTTTTTTTTTTATATGTGAAAAGCTTGGATTTATATTCTAGCTGCCAAGCACTGAGAAGTCAGTAACCGCAGCCTTTTTCATTGCAAGCTCTACTTTTATTCAAACAGTCCTGGCTTCCTGTTAAATGTCTCCATTCCGATCCTTGAATTGCATTTTGGAATAGTGTGTGTACTTAGGCCCCAGTGTGCTGTTCTGAACAGTCACATAAGGAAGGGTCAATAATGGAATCGTGGTTATTGCTTATTAATGGCTGTTTTTTTTACCTTTCAGAGCAGCACTATTAGGGGTATCTGGGTTTACAGGTCATTTGTTTGGGAGGCTTTGAAATGAGTGTCTCTCATCCCTTACACTTCAGTAATAGTAGAAAGTGGGTTTCTGTAAGTATACATGTTTTTCATGTAAAGCTGCACAGAGCTCTGCAGCCCTATTGGCCTTTTTGATCCGTTCATTGTCTGTTTTTTACCGTTCTAAATGAAGGCCACACTGTACTACATTGTCTGTGCAGCTTGTGTCAATCAAATTTGTGGAGCCATTTAAGAGGTCATTCAGTGCCTCCACTGTTTTTCCTAAAACTTGTGCATTTATGGTTTATATTAAACTGCCTGATTTGTAGCTAAAACCTCTGAAAAGCCTTCCTGCGTGTAATTTTTGCCATGGTGTTTTTTTTTTTTTTTTTGTTTTATTTTTTAGAATCCAATCTATTTTCTTAACATTTTAAAACAGATTTTCATGCAAATATTTTGAACTGGTTTATTCTGGTCATAGTTCGATGTGACATCACAATAGTTGCATGGATTTATAATTGAGCCTGTTGGGTACAAGCAGAAAGTACCTGTGTAGCTTATCCAGTGTGGGCAGGTTTTTCAGAGATGTCACAAGGTAGGTAATGTATTTGGCTCAAGTGAATACCACATGAATGCTTTTTTCTTAAATTTTTTTTTTCTCTGGATGTTTTGTTGTTGGTTGTACATGAAAATCCCTTATTTTAACATGCTTTGTCAAATTTATATGCCACAGGTTACAAAGTGAGAGCGTTGTATACACTTCAGTTCTATAAATTACTCAGCCGGCAGCATAATGAAAAGTGGGACTCGGTGTCTAAATGGAGAGGAGAATTTGCTAATTTTTCAGGCCTAAATATAAAAGTGTTTTTGTAAATTGTAACTTTTTAGACTAAAATGTAACCAAAATGGTTAGCACGCTTTTAATTTTTGTTTAGTTTACAATTTTTTTTATTTTTTTTTTGTATGGTGTTTAAGAGCTGATAGCTACAGTGATAAATGTACTTTAAAGATACATAAATTGGTATTAAAGGTGCAATGCTTCTGCAGTGGGATACATTTGCTCCAATTTTTACTTGTGTTGCCCAAAAACATTAAATGGAACCTGACAGAAGTATGGAAGCAATCGGTGACATTTATGAATGGCATTATCCAGAGTTGACCTACTCGCCCATTCTAATCTATATGGGTTGCCAATGACCTGGAAAAGGCACGTGCCTATTAGCTGTTGGGATATTTCATAAGCACTTGCTTTTTGTGGGTCGGTTGCAAGCTAGGTAATGATACAAGCCGGAAGAGAATCCTGGATGATGCACTTTCAGAAATCCTGCAACTGCAGCTCATGTATTTCTCTTCTGGCAGATTTCTTTAGGAATAGTAAAATTTTTTTAATCAGGTGTTTTTTTTTTTTTTTTTTTTTTTTTTTTTTTTTTAGCCTTGACATTCTACTCCCTGGTTGTAGAACTGCTCCGTCAGATGGACACAAATAAGCATTTTATAAAAGCCCCAGCTTATTGCCCAACAATTTTTGCATGCATTAACATGTTTGACAACCTCCTTCATATCTTAATATTGTCCCACACCCTGTGCAAGTTGATGAATAAAACTGTTAAGACTGGTAAAAGGATGCAATACTGTGCATTGTAGTGGTTTACATTTCCTTTGCTGCACTTCAGGATTATGTTGGCTCTGCTAGTTTTGTGACGGAGGTGGTTGTACATGCTTTAATGCGAAGTATCAGATGTGTCCTTCTGAATGAGTGTTTGCTACGCATTTTTGATTCTCTCAACACATGCTGTATTTTAGAGTGTTTTTAGTTTGTGGGATTCGCATTCTATAGTAGTAGAATCTGTAAATCATGAGACGAGCATTGCACGCTTAATACAGACACTGAGTTTTTGAGCCCACTTAGCAGAAAGGTCTGTTTTTAGATATTGAAATGTTCAGGCTGAATCTTGAATCAAATGCAAACATACTTGAAGATTAGTGCCACGATGAGACAGATGCTTTGTATGGACATGTTAAGCCACTGCCGGCTCTGTACCCTTGAACCCCCTTCGAGGCCCAGAATGCTTTATGGCTCTTTAAAGGGAAAAGGCCTTCATTTCTTCACCTTTATTCTCCCAGCAGCGGTGGAGATCGAGCTGGCTTCAGTAAGCCTGGTGGTAAGTTTTTGAGTATTACAAATGGGTAGTGTAACACTGAACAGTTTCCCTTTCCCTTTTTTATGATTTTTAGCAGTTTTTTTTTTTTTTTTTTTTTTTTTAAATTTGTTTTTTTTTTTCCTTTTTTTTTTTTGTTTTGTTTTGTTTTTTGTTTTGTTTTTTTACTTTGGTCACACCTAAACATGGTGTAAAATTACTGTGTGCTAAAGGGTCTGGCCGGCATTACTTAAGGGTATACATGGTTATTTGGTTACACGAAATGAAGAGAAAAAATCCCAAGCAAATCCAGACGTGTGTAATTTGGGGAAATGTTGTATTTTTGCACTGATTTTATTGCACAGCCACTTGTGCAAAAGCTTACATACACTTGGGCACACAAAGGTTTACAATTGGTTGGTCATAAGTGTCCCTGCCCCCCCTCAGAAAAGCCTGGCCTTTTACTGCTACGATATCTGTATAGTAGCAGTAACTGTGCAATATACTTAAGTTTTTTTTGTTTTTTGTTTTTTTTTTTTTTCTCACAACTTGAAATGAATTTATGAAGCACACATCTACCAAAATGGTTATATCACGCCCCTGTTCTGTGTGCCTTTTGAACCCCCATTTTTCATGGTGTTATTTTGTAGATTTTGGATGTTAATGTTTGTTGCAGTGGGGATATATTCTTGTTAATAACTTCTTTTTTTGTACTTTTCGTCTCTCAGGACTTCTGGATGATGGTCCTGAACCTGACTTCGGTATGTATTGCTAAGATACAGATTGTATGTCATGACACATTATGATGCTTGATGTGGTGTGATCATCATATTCTTTAAAGGACAGTCCGTTGATCTGTAGGTTGTTGAAGGCTCTACAGCAGCAGAATAGTCTAGCCTTAAAGCAGAACTTCACCCTAAAGGGCAAGTTTTGCTTTATGGGGCCCCCCCTCATCTTTTTTGTACTTTGGGGGTAGCAGGTACCTACTCCCAGTATTGTAGCTTCTGACTTCCTAAATATTTTTTTTAGAAGAACTGCTTTAAGATCTTGTATAGGTGGGGAAAATGCTTTTAAGGTGCTTTTTAGCTTGCCTTTGAGTACTTTGACCAAATAAGCTTAATCTTCTTTTGTGTTTTTCTGATAGGCAGTTTAGATGTGAATAAATGTCCATATACATAGGCAACTTAACCTGTTTTCATGTTTTTGTGTTTTTTGTTTTTTTTTTGTTTTTTTTTTTTTTATACAAATTATTGATCCACCGTTTTTGGTAATTTTAGCACCCCCTGTTGAACAACCACAAGAAGAAGAACCGGAGAACAGCACTATTTACATGCAGGGTCTAAATGAAAATGTGACTGTTGAAGAGTTGGTGGAGTTTTTTAAACACTGTGGGGAGGTCAAGGTGAGTGACACAAATCCATCCTGGATGTTTACTGTTTTTTTTTATTGGGCAGGAATGTTGGCGTTGATTGCCTTTTTATAAACCAAAAAGCCTCCTCCGGTACAGTGTTGTATGACCGAGTAATTGTCACTCAGTGTGACCAGGCTGACAATTGGCCTGGACTGGAAGAGGGTGTAAGTGTCCAAACTTGAAAAGGGTAAAGCAGACCCTTAAAGCAGGTAATGTGTGCTTTTTTGGCACACATTAAAAAAAAAAAAAAAAAACTTACAAATTTCTCCTCTCTTTCATAGATCAACAAAAGAACTGGGCAGCCTCTAGTAAACATTTTTACGGACAAGGAAACTGGAAAGCCAAAGGGTGATGGAACAGTTTCATTTGAAGATATGCCTTCAGCTAAAACTGCTGTGGAACTATGTGATGGTAAATTGTATATGTATTTTCCTGTATTTGTAAAAGCTTGTAAATTAAATTGTAAAGACCGCAATACTTCTGCTTGAAGGGTCTGACACCTCCTCTCTGGCTTCTTCTGGGTGCTGGTCTATAGCTATCTTGATTTGCCATTGCGGGATGTTACTCCAGCAAATGCCTCTTGCACACTGCTGGAATGTAAACTGAGCTGTGAGCAGGTAGATTTATTGTATTGCAGAAGAGGCATTGCATGTTTCTGCAATAGAGCCTGCTTGTTAAGGTTTTGTATTTTAGACTTTAGTTCTGCTTTTAATTGAAAGCTTAAACTTTCAGTAATTTTTGTTGGAAAATAGTTTATAATCCTATGCAAATTTTTACCTTACATTTTTATATTCCAGTTCTATATGAATGCTTAATGCCGTGTACCACTTTTCTCTAATATAAAAAGGACATGTGAAAACCGTTTTAAAAAGGCTGGCCCCTGCAATGCACTAGTTAAGGTTTTTTGATTGCTTAACCCCCTTTTTACCATAACCTGTATAGTTATACAGCCTCTACATCCTAAGGCATTTAGGGGTCCGACCAATAGGTTGGCTTTTTAAACGTAAGCTGGCATTAGATTTTCTAGCAGCATTAAAAGAATAGGCCTTTGTCATGGAATTTTAAAGTGAAAACTAGTCGTGTTTTTTTTTTTTTTTTTTTTTTTTTTTTTTTCCCCAAACGTGCAGTAAAACAATTAGCAAAATCTGATTTTATGTACTGCTTTTGATTTGGTACAGGAAAAGAATTTCAAGGAAATAAATTGAAAATATCTTTGGCTCGTAAGAAGGCTCCAACTAACATGAGGGGTGGATTATTACCTCGTGATGGTCGTGGGGGTCAGCCCCCACTCCTTAGGGGAGGTAGGAATTCTTATGTAATGAAACTTTACATATATTTCTAGTATGTTTCAACTTTTTTTTCATCAATGACTGACCTGTTTAACATATTTTCAAAATGCAGGTCCCATGTCACGAATGCCTGGAAGAGGAGGGGACCGTGGTGGTTTTATGCCAAGAGGGCCACGTGGTGGCCCGCGTGGCAGCCCTGTCAGTGGGCCCAATGTGCAGCACAGAGCTGGAGACTGGCAGTGTCCAAACCCGTATGTATCATAAAACCAACTCTAATAATACATTTAGATATAAATCTTTTTCTTTCTCTTGTTCTGGTGCATTTAATAATGAGCTTTTTGTTTTTAGCGGGTGTGGTAATCAGAACTTTGCCTGGCGGACAGAGTGTAATCAGTGTAAGGCTCCAAAACCTGAAGGCTTCATTCCGCCTCCATTCCCACCCCCAGGTAAATGCCTTTTACTGTACTGAATACACTTTATACTGTACCATAACAGCATGACTTTAAGACATTAACTGTTAACCTTTTTATGCTCACTTCTGAAATAACATGGAATCTTGCTTTAAAGTGGTTGTACACTTTAGAAATGTGCTTTGTTCAGCTTTATTTCTGAAGTGTCTGCTTGCCCCTCTCAAAGGCACTAAGCACTTGTTTGCATGTGCTTAAAAATGTGGCTTCAAACATATTATTTTTTTTTTTTTTTTTTCTTTTAGTGCTCTGAATGGCAATTGAAGCCCCTGTCACTAAAATGATTAGCTTACAGCCCTGTTTGCATGTTGCTTTCCTTTAAAAATTATACCCCATTTTGCTTTCTTGATGCTTCAAAACATCTCTGAAGCCTCCATAGAAGTCTGACAAAGCTTGCTTACAGCTTTTGAGAATCTTTTATTTAGCTTTGCTTTGAGTTATTGCAGGTATGAGATCCCAGGAAGAACTGGGAGACCAAAAAGCGAACCTTTCCATCCTGATTTAAAGCTAATAGCCACTGATGAACTTTTAAATTCAAAAGATGTACTACTGAGGAAATATATTAAAAATGATAGAATATATATCTATACCTATATCGCTATCCTTTTATCTAATAGGCTATTCTGTCTTCGTCTTTTCACTGGATAACCAGTTACGCTTTCAGAAGCAACATAATATATTTCTAGTTAATACATAGTATAATAGCTTGTAGACCCCTGACCATAATACCTAGATGTCCCTTCTTTCCATTCAGCTCTGAGTTCCTGTACAGTGTGTAACGTCAGCTCCCTGCCCCCTGCTTTGAGTCTGTGAAAAATCCCTTTCATTTAAGTTTTTTTTAAAAGTATGTACAGGACAAATGGCTACACAGGTACAACATGTTGAAGGATTTGTTTCACCTTTTAGTGAAGTGACTAGCCTCAGGTGATGAGAGTATATATGTAAGGCGTTACAACCACTTGAAGTGTGCTGTTTGTGAATTGTTTTAATGATTTCTTGATCAATATACCTTCCCTGCCAGCAATGTGACCAAATGCTGGAGATTTGGTCATGGGGTTGCTGCCATCACTTTTCAGACAGCTGCTTGACTGCTGTGCCTGAATTTGGATCTGAAAGCATTTTTGTCAATGTTACCAGTATTGACCAGAATTGACATTTTCTAGCTTTCTCTGTAGCATTTACATGTAGCAAAGAGCTGAAATTCTGGTGGCAAGTCTGCTTTAGACAAAGCACAATAATATTCTGTTACAATTGGTGTTTACCTATTTCCTCCTGTGAAAACCTGGGTCTAGCTGAGAAGATCCCCCGGTCATCTGTATTGCACTCTGCCAGCATGTGCATATGTATTTTTTTTTTTTTTTTCTCCAAAACTGGTTTAGAGGCAATCACTGGTCTTGCAGAGGAGGATCTTATATGGATTTCGTTTGTGTGAGCACCTGGGCATTTATCTCAAACATAGTGCAGTGACTACCTTTTTGGAAATATATAAATTTTTTTTTGCTAAGAATTAATGTGGGTATAGAACACTGTAGATTTTAGATTAAAATTATAGTTTCATTTTCTAGTAGCAAACTGTTTTAATTCAAACCATGACTGCCGTTTTTTGAATTCTTTTCATAGTATACTTATGGAGTATATTTTTGCTCTGTATGTAAAGAGATCTATTGCCCTCTCCTGAAAACTTTTAGTTGCACAAATGAGCTGCTCCTTGCCTCCTGTTGCTGTAAGATAGAGGTGCTTGCAAGTAAGATTGTCGGGTTATCACTAGTTATAACAATGTCCTAATAGTGCTACTAAATGCAGCAGGAGAAGCTAATAGTGAATGCATGACTTGCATTAACAGGCAGTTTAGCTTGCTTTATGCTACCTTTCCATCCTCGTTTCCAATTTTTTTCCCCCACCAGGTAATGAAAGAGGTAGAGGTGGTCCTGGTATGAGAGGAGGCAGAGGTTTGATGGACCGTGGTGGCCCTGGTATGTTCAGAGGTGGACGAGGAGAGACGGGGAGGCTTCAGAGGTCGGGGAATGGACCGAGGATTTGGCGGAGGAAGAAGAGGTGGGCCACCTGGTCCCCCAGGACCTCTCTTGGAGCCGATGGGAGGAAGAGGCGGTGGAGGAAGACGTGGTGGTCCTGGCAAGATGGATAAGTAAGCCATTTTTCAGCATATTTATCACACTGTCTTCCCTAGATCATCCAATAAAATGCTGGTTTTCTTTCTAGGGGTGATCATCGCCAGGAACGCAGGGAGAGACCCTACTAGAAGTTGAAAGCCTCCTTTACTCAAGATTTATTTTTTAAGCCAGAAATGTTTTAAATTTATAATTCCATATTTATAATGCTAGCATGGAGTCCCTCCATTGTTACATTATGACTATTCTTTGTCTGTACCTTTAGTATTCACAATTTGTGGAGATATTAAAATGAAAATTTAACGGTAGTACCAATGTTTGTTTTTTGTTTGTTTTTTTTTTTTTTATAAGAATCCAACATTTTTTGCAGGCTCTTCAGTGTGTAAGTTGTTAACAAGGTTTTACTGAAGTGATTTTGTCAGCATGTAGCATTGTGGTAAAATACGGCTGGAGGAAGTATGCCCATGAAGATCTCTTGTGACTATTTCTAAGCTTGTTCTAACGTGTTGGGCCTTTTTTGCGGGTCTCTTCATTTGCAGTTTAGAGTCTGACAAAGTCAGCGATCTTGTTTTAATATTTCCTGCAAGATGACTGGAGAGAAGTCATGAATGTTTTATATTCTAACCTGTACAAGTTTTGTTGACATCCACATTACAATAAAAACCTGCAAACCAATCCCTAGATTTATAGCTTCTGATTTTAGTGATACAATGCTATTTTGGTACATATTAAAGAAAGTGGTCACGACATGCTCTTTGTGTTTAGCAATTTAGCAGGTTAGGTTTGACACTCAACCTTCCTGATCTATATACTTTGAAGTTACTTGTACTCTGAATATGGAGACTCTCATAGCTGAACTCTTTGGAAATTCTCGTTGATTGGCTGTTTCTAATTCTTGGTTTCTGCACCCTGAGACACTGACAAGCAGTTAAAGTCAACATCTATATGCTCCATGTCTCCAGGGCCAAAGTTTAATTTTAATCAAGACATAGCCAAAGCAATTGGTATACTTTAGACAAAAGCTGCCACTGAATTTGTCTGAGCACTGGTTCCTTTAACCACCTCCATTACCGGGCCAATTCTGACACTTCTCTCATATGGGGGGGATGGAATTTTTTTTTGCTAGAAAATTATTTGGAACCCCACATTATATATTTTCTTGTTGCAGAGGCGCTAGAGAATAAAATGGCAGTTGCTGCAATTTGTCACACTGTATTTGTGTAGGAATTTAAACCCACTTTTTTTGGGGGGAAAAACTTTAATGAAAAAAGCTCAATTTTTTTATTTTTTTTGTAAAATATGAAAGTATGTTATGCCGAGTTCATAGATACCCAACATGTCATGGTTATACTTGTGCATGCCCTTAGAATTCCCTTCCTGCTGCTTCTAAGTGATCTAGCTGCGATTCTACCACTCTGTCCACTTTTAGTAGATAGGAAATCGCCGGCTGAAAAAAATAAAATATTGGGTTCATGGCACTTTGCTGCAGCCATAACCCTGGTATCCACTTCCCAACCCAAGGATGTATATGTACTATTGCCAGTTGGGAAGTGGTTAATATCGGTCACTTTCACCCCCTTCCTGCCCAGGCCAATTTTCAGATTTCAGCGTTGACACAATGACAATTACTCAGGCATGCAACACTGTACCCAAACTAACTTTTTGGGACCGCTTTCTCTGGGTAGTATTTAATTCTCACTTTGCTATATAAATGAAAAATACCAAACCTTTTTGAGAACATTTTTTTTTTTTTTCTTCTTAGGCCAAAGTTTAACCTGCTACGTTTGGTAAATAATCCAAATCGGTGTATATTTAGTCTTTGTGAAAGTTGGTCTACAAGCTACAGTACATACTGTATTTGAAAATTGATCAGTCCTAATGTTCTGACTACCTCTTCTTGAGGCCCTAAACCAAAACTGTACAAAATCCAAAGAGAACCTTAAGGCTTCAAGGAGCATAGATTACACATATAATATCCTGACTACCATCACATTTTTGAAGGCCCTGGAGCACTAGGACAGTGGAAAAACCCCCAAGGTATTTTCTGTGGCATAAGGAGTCTTAACCATTTTGCTAGAAGTTTTAGGAAAATGTGGAAAAAATTTTTTTTTACACAAGGTTGTCAATTTAGAAGTTACTTCTAACACACTGCATGGACATAGTTAGAACTACATCCCAAAATACATTCAGCTACTCCTGAGTATGGTGCTTCATGGGTTCATAATTCAAAGCACATAGAGCTCCCCGCTGCTCTAGTCTGTCATGCTGAGAATTTGGAATGCCACCTTGCATTTAAAAAAAATTGGGGGTGGGACATGGCTGGCTCTGGTGACACCATACTGCTGACTGAGACTGGGGCTGATCAGGGCACTGACTAGGCTGTGTGCGTGTGGCACCAAATTTAAATTATGTAAATGGACTCTTAACTTTCACAGATCCCTGCTCCTTCCCCCACTTGAGAGCTGGTAACCAGAAAAGGTCTAGTTTTTTTTTTTTTTTTTTTTCTCTTCATCTTTCAGGACAGCACCTTGAGACCTCTGCTCCTCCCCACCTATGGAAACACCTCCACCCAAAATAAAACTCCTGCTTCTCCCCTCCGACCTCAGTTTTTGGTGTTTCCTTTGGTGGGGAGACATGCTATGGAGGCCTGTCCAGGTGCAGTCAGGGGACCGGGAGGGCCTGGGGAAGGGTGAGAGAGAGGTGCAGCTGTGGGGGTATGGGCCGGAGTGCTGGGTTCTATCCTCCACGGTTGTGCAGTGACAGGTGGGCCTCCTCCGTAGGAGACGGCAGCCTGCGCTTACCTGTCAGGATGCGTCCCGACCCCCACCGGAGGGGGTGTTGGTGAGCCGGGCGTCCTCGTGTCTGGTGTCCAGAGACCGGGGGAGGAGTCCCGATGTCCCACGCTGTGCCGGCATTGAGGCCGGATGACGGGAGATGTCATTTCTGGCGGAAGAGGCAGGGCTTTTCCCGGGACGCGGCTTCTGGCTGCTGCCTAAGAAGACACGAGGGGCAGCGTTTTCTACGGCGGTGTGAGTGCTGTATCCTGCAGAGGCAGGCGACACCGTAGTCGGGCAACCACCTTCCTGACTGTCTGGAGCAGAGGCAGGTGAGGCCAGCACCAGCCAACTCCAGGTAGGCGGCTCGGTGGAACCTTGTCAGGGAAACTAACTTGGGGTCCCCTGGCTCCAGGGGGTGTTCCCAGCCCTCTTGTGGTCAGAGGTGGCAGGGGGGGAGAGGCCCAGGTCGGTAGCTCCTACTCTCTGCCAGGAGAAAAAAAGGGGGGGGCAGACGGTCAGACTTTTCCCTAGTGGTAATGAGTCCCCTGGGTCTCCTCTTCTCGTTATGCAGGTGAAAGCCCGTGAAAATCCCAAGGCACACCAGGGGTCTAAGCGGAAGTGCCCATCATGCAAAGTGACCCTCAGGGATTCTTGGAAGAAGGTGCTGTGTGGGTCCTGTATTGAGGGGCTGGTTATGGAGGAGATTCCTTCACAGGGGGACCTTGTTAAGTCAGAGCTGATGAGTACCTTTTTGATTCCTTTAAGTCTCTGAGAATTTGGCCTTGCCTCAGGCGCGTACTGCACCCTAGAAGATTCTAGCTTCTTTTCAGACTTTACTGCAGGGTGTGGGATATATAGTGGACGCTTCTGCGGAGTCTGTTAGAATGACAGGTCTGCAGCCCTTACTAATTTGGCCTGTAGAGCCCTCTGGCTCAAGACGTGGCAAGGAGACATTGCCTCCAAGGTCAAACTTTGTGGCATCCCGTTCATGGGGGTTTTCCTTTTTGGCCCAGGGCTAGAGATGGTGCTTGATCGCCCGGCGGATAGGAAGAAAGCATTTCCTCTTAAGAGGAAGCTTCAGGAGCGGAAGTTTCTTCCCCAAAAAAAGATGCAGGTCCTTAGGCCAGGCGGGCAGAGAGGAAGGGGTAAAGGAGGAGCGATTTTCTGTCGTCCTGAGCAGCCCCAGAAACCCCAATGACTTTGTTCTCTTGGTGGGAGGAAGATTGGGGGTCTTCCACAGTGGGAATTAGAAATCTTCAGCCCCTTTATCCTGAATATAGTGAGAAGGGGGGTACTGCCTGGCGGTTTCAAGGCCACCGCCACGCAGGTTGTTGGTGACGAGCCTGCCAAGGTGTGCAGAAAAGGCGGCAGCTTTACTCGCTTTTCTACAGGAGTTAGAGGAGCAGAATGTTGTGGTCAGGGTCCCCGCTGCAGAGGTCGGCAGGGGTCTTTACATGTCTGTCATCCGAAAGTCCTCCGGAGTTTACAGGCTAATTCTGAACCTGAAGCCTCTGAACAAGGCCATCAGGTACAAGAAGTTCCAGATGGATTCGATCTTCACGGTCAGGTCTTTTCTTCCTCACTCTTTTCTAGCCTCGATAGACCTAAAGGATGCTTATCCGCATGTTTCCATTGCAGAAACCTGCCAAAAAATTCTCAGATTATCAGTATAGGGTCCGGGAGGACGCGTCGCCTGCGGTTTCGGGCCTTGCCCTTTGGACTTTCCTCCTTCTGAGAATCTTCACGAAGGTTCTGTCCGAGGCTCTGGTGCCACTTCGGTTGAAGGGTTTCAATAGTGGATTACCTGGACGATCTGCTTGCAAAATCGGACGAACAGTTGTTGCAGGACATAGCTGTGGTGAAAGAGCATTTGGAGGGTCTAGGCTGGCTGATAAACCTAGCAAAGTCCAGTTTAGTTCTGGCCCAGAGGATGGTATAACGGCTACACACTAGATTTCACCCGTCAGAGAACCTTTCTGACTCCAGAAAAGATCCTGAAGCTAGACGGGGGAATCAGATGGTTGCTAAAGAGCCAAGGGGTATCTTTGAGGGTGGCCATGTCAATTCTGGGTCTTCTAACCTCGTCCATTCAGGTGGTACAATGGGCAGGGTTACACTTACAGCCCCTCCAGCTGTTCATTTTGAGCATCTGGGATCGTCAGCAGGCATCTTTAGACTCCTTGGTACGGACACCCTCCAGGGTAAAGAGGTCCCTCTGGTGGTGGAGGAAAGCAGCCAATTTGA